GCAGTGCATTTCTGTATGAACTGAATATGCCCATATCTTTCTGTTCTAAAATGCAGCCAATATCATAGTCAGACACTCTTGGACAAATTCTATACAATTTATTACCCAAATACAGCATCATTTTTGATGTTTCTAACATTCTATCTTTTTCTGTTTCAAAAGAAATGAATTCAAAGCACGCAGTCTGGTCTTCATTAATAACGAGAGACATAACAGCATTGTTATAAATTTTATACAACCCACCTTCCCCGTATATTTCGATGATACCAGTCTGATTACCATTGCTAAAAATATCATCAAAATAGATATGAGATAGTCTCAAATACCCATCGTTATTTACAACAATTTTGGCGTTTTGATACAAGTGGACATTTTCAATATAAAATCCACCAATCACAGTTACTTTTGAATTTATATCACAATATGTTGTTGATATAAAATTTTGATTTGATGTTATAAGTGTCACGTTGTCTATATAAAATATTATTTTCTCCCAAGTTTGTGATGTTGTTATTGAGTAATTGGTGTTATTAATTCTGAGTATAAGTGAAGGTGTGCAACTGTTATTAGCACAATCAAAAGGAAATGGACCGTCTAGTGAATGCGGATAATAATAATAATTGTTATTTGTATACATACACATACAAACTCTCTCTGTGTGACTCTTCATCACCGCACGATGACCACAGACAGTCAATGTATCAGTGTTGTCGTATAAAGTTCCCCAAATTTCAAATAAAATTGAGTTTGAGTAATCTTCTCTATCCAAAATAATGTTATTAATTGTCAAAGAATGTTTAAATATGTAATTTGCAGTTGATGTGGTTATTAAATTATTAACTATGCAGTTGATTTCAAATAATAAGCTTTTGTTCAGTTGAAGCTCCAGTTTTTCAAAATATATTTCATTTAATGAAGACTTAAATATGTACTTCTGGTAATTAGATACAAGAGGGGTATACCACTTGTTAATTGATAAATTAACTTCAGTGTTATTATTATTATTTTTCGTTAGTTTTGTTAAGTCCAAATCAAAGTATGATGAGTTAAATCGACAATCACTGATATTGAAAGTGGTGTTATCATCTTTAATGTAATTTGAATTAGGAACACAACCACACAAAGTACTTTCATTGATTAATTTTTCATCATAATTTGTTGATATCATAAAGAACCTTTTAAGTGCATTTTCAGAAGTACTTATCGTTCGTTTACAAACAACTTTTACGTTCAAATCTTTGTGCGTATAGTCATCCCATTGAAGTGTTGGAATTTGTGTAAATTCATTTCCACTGAAGAGATACCTCAAATATGAAAATTCCACATCTCCAAAGTTTATGTTTGTTTGTAAATGAAAAGTGGAAGTTTGATTTGTTGTGCCATCGATCAAAATATACGGTGAATATGATATAGTCTCATTTCGATGAAATACAATCCACCAGTGCTGGTCAATGTTAGAAAACAAGTGAATTCCACGTTTGAAAAAAGCGACGGTTGGGCGTTGGTTGTCACCAATTTCTGTTCTGCAATTTTCTTCGTTGTTGAAACACCCCATTGAAACAAAAAGATTATCAGGGCGGTTATTTTCTTCAAGTGTAATTCTTGAATTATTGAACCGCGTTTGTATGAAAAAATATTTCAATGTTATTTCTTGAAATATGTTAAAAATTTTGTATTTGGGTGTCGGATTGTTTAAATCGGTGAATGTCAGTAAAGTACTGTTACAACATGAATTTGTAAAATTAAAAGAATCGATAAAAATAGTATTTTTATTTTCAGTTGTTGTACTTACAGTTAACGTGAAATCGTTTTGGTTGCAATTTGTTAATGACGTTCGTGTGAAAGAAATGACGTTGTTAACTTGGCAATAGTTTTCAATTGTTTGGCAATACGATTTTATTAGAAATAACAAGACAAAGAAAACAACAAGTTTTGTATGTCTCATAATATGTATTTAAAAAGATTAAATTCGTTTTTTTATTAAAAAAATCGAAAACGTCTTTTTTGTCTGATTGTTTTTATGGTATGAAATAATTGAATAACATACAAAAATATGTTATAATTTATAGTATCATGAACTCATGAAAATATACTACTTTTAAATGTTATCTTATCAAGAAATGCAATATCGATATAAAATCGAATTCGAATAATCTATTAATAATGTAATTATAAATAATTATTATACATTATAGTAAATATTGAATAATTATTCTATTAAAAATAGCATTATTTTTATTTAAACAACAGGCATAAACTATTAAATAAAAAAACAAATCAATTATATGATTTTTTTAAGACTGGTTCCCAAATATTATATTTTAGATTGTTCAATAGTTATCTAGTAACTTTAAAGGCAGAAAATCACTCCACTTTGAAAAATTGCCTAATAAAAGGATTTTATAGTTTCATTTGAATTAAAATAAATTAGATCAATAATTCAAAAATAAAAATGATTTTAGTGTTTTAAATTTAAAATTTATAACTATAAAATGGTTTAGATATATTAAAAATTACCTATGAAAGTTTTAGATAAAATAAAAAACAAAATAGTAATTAGATTTCGTAAGTGATATTTTTTACTGATGATTATTAGTATTAAAAAAGCCAAAGAATCGGGTAAAAAATAGCACCCGGTTTTAATACCATTTTTAAAAATTAATTTTTCATAACAAAAAGCCCGGGTCCGAAGTCTAATCGCAATGTTAAATTGGATTTATAATAAATATTTGAAAAAATATGAATTAAATCGATTAAATATATTAATTATATATCAGACTTTTACCAATACTCGTATCCAAACAATAATGGGAATTGCACAACTCTCGGAGAAATCATTACAACATGTCTGGCGATGATGCCAAATTACGATGGATGTGCTATTTGCAAAGATGGATACAAACGATCCACCGATGGCAAAAGTTGTGACAAATGCGATGAATCGTGTGCAACGTGTGATTTCTTTGGTAATTGTATTGACTGCAACAACACATTCTATCGCATTGATACAAACGACAAATACTGCAGACCACAAAGTGAGTTAATTGGATGTGTCAATTCGAGTACTTATGGCTGTTTAATATGTGGCGATGGGTACCATTTGCACACAAATGTGTGTGATAAGTGTGATTACAATTGCACACTTTGCACATCACTGACAGAGTGCACAAATTGTGTTGCAACACATATTTTAGTTGAATCACAATGTGTGCATTTCTCGAGTATTTTAAATTGTATTTCTGCATCTGACAACAAGTGCACCAAATGTGCTGACAAATACATAGCCAATACAGAAGGCACTCAATGCGACAAAAAGACAAACTATGGCTTAGTCGTCGTTCTTCCAATTTTTTGTATATTATTATTAGTAATAATACTATTTATTATTATTATAACAACGTTGATTGTTATACACAGAAATCACAAAAATAAACAAGAAAAAAGAATTTGTGTGTTTGAAATGAAACGTTCTAATGTTTCAATGAAAGTACTCAAAAAATGGGGTATTAACAAAGAAAACTGAAATTAATTACAACGACTCGACTGAATTTATTCCAGTTGAAGCGGAGAGTAAAGAACTTCTTTGTGTTGAGAACAAAGGAAAAGGAAATCTAATAGTTCAAATCACAACTCAAAGTTCTTCCGAGAAATACACAATCAGAACAGAGCCAAAAATAGTGACTTTGAAGAGTGGATTTGCATGTGAATTTGAAGTCTTTTTAACTCCCCATTGTACACTCAGTTTGGAAGACA